CATAATGCTAGAAAAAACGGCCACGAGGACCAAAATTGTTAGAATATTACATCAATTGGGAAAAGCCCTTGCAAAAAGAACTTACAAAAAAATGGCACGCAAGCCGACCAGATACAAATGACAAAAACCTAATTAGTAGAGGGTAATTTTACTTCCTAGTTGGGCTGTTCACCCCCTCCATCTTCTCCACCAAGGTTGAGGAACTTGGGGACAACATCTGCTCGTCGACCATGCTATATAGGAACCCAGTCCCAGCCATGGTGAACTCGACATCAGGGTTCGTAATCTTAAGCTGATCCACCGTGTTGTTGAAACTATCCCCGATAATTGACTAACATTCTTCCTCGACCAAACAGATACAGGAAACCAAATCGGGACAAGTCTTCAAAATTGTCTTAGCTCCTTATTCTCATCCTCAACTGGAGTCGCATCAGCTTCCAAAGCAACGACCTATCTTCGAGATCCTTCTTGGCAGGCTTCATCTTGACCATCTCTTTAGTCTGGTCGGTCCATACTGCCTTCTATTTTTTCAGCTCCTCTTTCTCAGACTTCTACTTGGCTATCCTCTCCTTGAGAGCCATGTTAACTGCACGAGCAACCTTAACCTCCTTGATCGTGAGGGTCTCCTCCTCGATAGGGCTGGAAAAATGGGTGGGTCGGATCTGATTCGGGCTTAAACTCCTAATCTGGCCCAATCCATGGATGGTAAATAGAGACCCATTTCCGACCATTTTCGTTATAGTTTTTACGGTTTGCGGTTTTTCAAATTTCACAGTTTTTGGGATAGAATTGTTCAGTGAATTGATTCAAGAAAAAATGTTTAAAACTAAAAAAAAAGAGAAAAAAATACAGAAACAGAAGAAAGAAATTCAATCTAAAATATAATATGTTCTTTAAGATAAATAATTTGTGATATTTGTAAGAGAAATATCTGGACAAGATTGAAAGAGAAAGATATGGGCAAGATTGAAAGAGGAAAGGAAATAAAAGGTTGAAAGTGATAAAGAAAAATCTGGACAGAAAGAAAGTTGAAAGAGGACAAGAAACGGCTAGGGTTGATGTTTATCTTTCTCTAACTCTCTCAGCCCACTATCTATTTTCTTAAAAAAAATTTTAAACTTAAAATGTTATTTCGGGTGGGTTAAGTTTTTAATGGGCCAATTTTAGTCAACTGAACTGATCCAAATGAATTCGTGTGAAATTGATTCTTTAACCTCTTAAACCCAGGACTTGAATTAATCCACCTGTATGACATTTTTTTATTCCAGTTTTACCGGTTCACGGATGGGCCAGATTGTTTTGTCCAACCCTACTCGGTATGAATTACCGTAGCTCCAAGACCCTCATTATTGCGGCAGCATCCTGGGCAAGAGTATTCCTCTCACTCGATTGATACAAGTCATTTAAATGTAGCGACTCTGCCCGAGAAACTTTCAAAGAGGGACCCTCCTCAAAGTAACTCATCTCCATCCAACAAGGAGGCAATTCAAACTTGTCTATAGTCCTCTCTAAGGTCGGGTCGATGAGATCCTCTCCCCCTAGGTGACATTTCCTGCCCGAAGTCACCTGCTAAGGAGAATGCTGCTCGCCAGCAGGAGTAGAGGAAGAGGTCCTCGACCCAGTCTCAGACGGGACCGCAACGCCTCCCAGACAACTCTTCTGAAGCTGACTTTCTTCAATTGCCTCGATTTGTTGGATGCTACCATCTTGACCACGCGCTCCTGAGCATTCAACATTTCACCTGCAACAAGCAACGAGCATAAATCAGTAAAACGAGGAAGACAAATAAAAACAAGTCAATAACATAAAACAACCTAAGAGTGTTAGGGAATTCTTGTAAGTGTCACACTCGAGGAGCCCCTTTTTATTGATAAGATGAGCCTCCAACATAATTTCCTCGTCAAAGTAACCGATAAAATCCTCACCCTTAGTCACGACTGGGTAGGGACGAAACTATCGACGAAATTCACGAGCCTGTTATAGCCAGCCAAATCCTACCCTTCCAAGTTGCTCTGTCGGACAATATACTCTTCGGTTTTCTAGTCAAAATGATCGCGACTCTAGGCGAAATAGAATCTCCAAACCTGATGACTCTTCCTCCAGCCATCCTCGATGAAGAGGGGTTTTCCATCATCGCCCCTCATAATCTCTCAACTAAAAGAGGAGGCAATGGCCCTCTCATACACAGGAAGAACGACATAATACTTATGTTTAAAGGAATATATGGACTCCGAGTACGCCTTGGACAAATTTTTTGTCTACTTCAGAGAAACCCAAGCAAACAGCCCCTCTGAGGTTGTCTACCGATGAAGATGAAAGCAAGCAAAGAAAATGGGGACTGTGGCCCCGATCTTGAGATAGTCGTAAACAATCTCGAACACCTGGGTAAAGGTTATCGAGTTAGGGTGAAACTGCAAAGGCGCCCAGTTGAAATAAGCACAAATCACCACTTGAAGATCCGTGAAAGGAAACTGAAGCACCATCTCCATGAAAATGAACTCATACAGGAAGAACTGATCAGTATCGAAGGGCGAGCAGATCCACTCATCTTCCCCGGGGAGCAAGACTTTTCACTCCTCCTCAGTATCTGATGAACTCGTCTCCCCTCCAACAGCTGTAAACGCTTCCCTGGGGAAGTAAGTAAAGAGTGAGGCTATCCCATGAGGCTCCGGAGCTATCCACTTTTGGGATCCCGAAGCTACTAACTCCTCCTTGGAAGTCTTGATATGCTCGACCATATTCTTGTCCTCGTAATCAGTAGCCATATTTTACCTGAAAAACAGAGGACAAAAGTGAATTCGACGATCAAATCAAATCCACCCTTCCACTGCTAGTCAAGTGAAATGGTGAACAAATACACGAGAACTCTTTCCTCGGCCAAAACCCTTACTCAAACAGCAAATGAAGATGCGAAGAGAGCCTCCCTGATCGGTAAATCCTGAAATCCTCATGAGGTGGGTCTCCCCGACAGATTTCCCAGAATTTCTTTTGAAGATTAATTGTAAAAGTAATACATTCATCGAAAAACTGATGAGTCCACCAGAGAACTCATGAGACCCACCGGTAACAAGCTCGCTCGCTACCGTAACTGCGGTCCCAGATCGGTCGAAAACGCATAGATTTCCAACACGACTTACCCTCTCGACAGCGACGATGTCTGAATGTGGCACAACCACTATCAAACATAAGGAAACAATTAGGTTCCTCGTACATACCCATCCTCTGGGAATCACAAGACATCCTCGTCTCCAGCGACAAGTGCCAACCGTGCATTTTCCTCCTCGACGCACGAGTAGAGTTTAAGTCATCACTTCTATGACCAGAAGCAACAATTTGAGAGGCTCCTGTTCTAGACTGACCAAATGACTAGACATGGCCCAATCCACTTCTACGTCCAAAACGACCTAATAGCTTTGGCCCAATTAGATGGAACAAACAAAGGGCGCTTTTCCATCTGCCCCTCAGCTGCAGACACGTGGTCAGTTGATCCTAAGATCAACGAGACCACAAGTTCCCTCAACCACACCTCTTCCCGTATCAATAGGCTAGTTCTCACTCTGCTAGTCGCACGAGGACAACCACCCAGGAACGATCAGATCACACTTGTCCGTGAATACTCCTCTGCTCGTTGTAACGGCTAGTTCAGAGCATCTCTTCTGTCACAACGGCTAATTCCTGGCAGTTACCTATTTTTGAGGAACCTAATATTTAAGCCCAAAAATAAGAACCCATGGCCAAGCGTCGGGGGCACTATATAAACCCACACACTTGTGAGGGTCAGGTATTCAATATTCACACTAAAACCCTAAACTTTCTCTTGTATCTCTTTGCATCTTACTTACTTAAGCATCAGAGTATCTCGTAGGTACACCCTCTCCTCCTTGATTTCAGCCTTGCAAACGTCATCTATCGACCCATTACAAATTCTGGTCACCGGTAAGATCCGTATTCAACCTTTGTCTATCTAGAAGCGGGATATACAAGTGCTCGTTAACAGGCTTCCCTAACCAATTCTTAGTCTAGTAGTTAATGTTTTACCAAGTTCCTATCACCCTTCTGGTCTCCTCCTTCAAAAGATTATAGTAATGATGGATTCAAGGCTAAATTGATAATTTTATGCGATAATATCGATGGGAGTTATTATGAGTATATGTTGCTCAGCAAACTACTCCTCACTTTTTCGAAGAGGTCATGAACTCCAAAGCTAGCTTAAGCATCAAGACATCATTAAGTTGCTTTGCTGATTGGAAACCACCCCTATCCACATGTTTGCAAACTACTCGCTACACCATTGTGCAAGTTTTTTTATGAAGATATCACCACTTCAAATGAAGCTACAAAGCCAAGTATCCAATTAGGCTAGCACCTTATCTGGCTACCTATAGACATGGAAGGATTAAACCAACATGCTCTGGATGACCAAATTGATAAGTTAAACTCTCCTCATGATGGTTAGCAGTGCACCTTGCTAAGTTGCAAGTTTAATTCTAATTATGTGGGTTAAACTCTGGAAATGAATTTGCTTCGGTTCCCTTTGAACATTGGACAATCCAGATAGGTAAAAGGGAGTTGGCTCTGCCCAAAACCTAACCAATCTTATATGTTCCTCAATTGTTGCAGAGACATAGCTCTCACATATAATTTACTTTTTTTCGTATTAATTATTTGTCCGGGCGCTGTTAGAACCGACCCTAGGCTTAATAAATCCTTGGTTAAACGCTAAGATTATCGATCAACTAAAAACATTCTCCACCATGCAAAATATTAGAGGTGATTGTAGATTCACTGCCTCAACCCACCTTATTTATTTGAGTCATTAAACAATTTTTTAAGTTAGTAAAAAACTAAGCCTATAAAATTATTAAGAATACAGTAACAACACTTTACATATTTAAGATAAATACACATAATTATTAGCTTAATTAGTCAAACTTCTTGTCTAGATTCTAAAGCATGCAAAAGTTATACAATTAAGAAAATGACGATGAAGTTGTGATCGAATGGGACACTTGATGGTAGCAGGTTATCGGTTTCCAAGTCAAGTAAACGGGTCAAGTTATAGAATACGTAGCATATAGGACGACAGGAACAAGACAAAAATCAACTTACGTTTAGCAGTTTTTTCCTAATTTGAAAGTCTAAATAATAAGAAGTGTGAATAATAATGAATACTTAAATTTCAAAAGGTGGACCAGTTTGAAACTGTTGCCACTTAAGGTTGGTATTGAAAATTCAACGAACCGTGACGGGTAGATAAATATCAACATTTCTTAATTTATCCACCATATAATCATGAATTATGGTATCCACTCTAATTATTAACGATAATGGTGGTGTTTTGTCCGAATAATATATATATATATATATATATATATATATATATATATATATATATATATATATATATATATATATATATATATATATAACACTTATTTTTTTATTGTTTATTGTTTTAGTAATTGAATATCATCTAAGTTAGATTATTTTAGATTATTGCATATATTTTAGAATTGAGCATAATTCATTAAATATATTTCACATGCATAAATCGAACTCTTAGATAAAAGTCGATGTAAAATAATTCAAATTAATTAGTCAAATATTTGGATTAAGAAACGCGTGAGTGTATGATTCCTATCAACTAACTTTCAATTCAATAAGAACACTTCATTTTTATTAAAATATTAATTTTTAAAGTGTGATTCGATTAAGAGTTATGTAATGTTCGAATCAATATTTATAATATAAGAAAATCATATTTATCTAAAAATCATATTTTGTCATGTTGCTCCAAATTAACAACACGTGGATAGTCTATTTGAGGTTCCGATTTGATATGTTACAATTTTTTCTACGCTTTGCTGCTGTGACCTCCCTCTCCATCTTTCTTTAACCATCCTCTCCATCTTCTCCTATTCATTATCTGTTTTGTAACTGTTTCCATAATCAACGTTGAAATTTCAAATGACTGTCCATTCCACTACTTCCTCAACCGTCTCAAAATCATCATGGCTACAATTATTTATAACATTCCATACTCTCAACTTCTATTACATCTTCACATGCCTCAAACTCTAACATTTTTCACCTCCTCCCTCCTATCGGTTTAACATGGCAAGGCCATTGAAAGAATATGCGACATCAATGACAGCAAAGAATTATGGAAAGTTGTAATCTGGGTTCATCATAAATGGAATGTACTGATTAATAACAAAGAGCATTTTGAAATGATTTATGTGGACAAAGCGGTAAAATTTGTTTTCTCTACGTCTGGATCATCGTGATGGTGGTTTTTGTGTGTTCTGTTTTCTATAAAATTTCTGTGGCATATTCTGTTATTTTTTATAATTTTTTGTGCATTGTGTAGTAAATGGTTGATTTTATGATATTTTGTTATTTTTGTATGCATTGCAGGGCGGTGATATACATGTTATTATCCCGGTGGCACATATATCTGTGTTTGATGAAAAACTGTTGTTCGACCATACTTATACTATAGCCAACTTTAAGGTTCAGCCAAATGTGTCGACTTTTAGACCTTCGGTGCATAAATTTATGCTCAAATTTACGGGAGGAACGTCTGTTGGGGATGATAACAAACATGAGATACATGCAAAACCATTAGTGTTTACTGGTTTTTCTGAAATAATCAACGACAATTATAACAATGATTTGCTGATAGGTAAAAAAATGTAACATCTTTATTCATCTTTTGGTCGTGCATTTGAATTTGATTTATTGTTTTTCTCTTATGTGGATGTTTGTTTTTTTGGAAGATGTAATTGGAATGGTTGAGGGTATTGGGTATTACAAATGCAGTCGGGTTCAAAAAAAATAGTAGGTTAATATGATGTTAAGGGACCACAAGTATGTATATTTACTTTTGTCGTTGTTGTTATATCATATATCATATGAAATGCATCTTAAATTTCTTTTGTTGACCGACTGTTGTGTATTCATTGTTTAGCAACAACACTCTGAATTGTACTCTCTAAGAATCATATGTCGACCAGTTTATCAAATTCACACAAGATCGTGACAATAGCTCTGATCCAACTGTGTTGTTGCTGCAGTATGAAAAAGTCAAAGAAGAGGGTGGTTAGTTTATTATGTTATTATAAAACTATTTATTTTTAACAACTCAAACTTGCGTCATGTTTTTATTGATGTAGGGAAGTTTCTGCTGTCAGTCATAAACACCTACAATGTCATGTTGATCTGCCTCGATGCTGGTTTTGCTTTGATCAAAGATTTCATTGACTGGTATATTCTTTGTAATTTCTATGGTATCCATTGATATGTTGGATTTCTCATTCTGTTGTGTGAATATTTTTTTAATTCACTTATTCATGCAGCATGCCTAAGGACTTTATCGTTATTTTCTCCGGACATATGGGTTCAAGTTCACAGCTCTCATCGTAGAACTCTAAAAAAACACAACTCAATCCTTCTCATAGGTTACTCTCAAGTGTTGTTATTTTGCCTCTTGGTAAAATAATCAAACTCTGTGATGTATGATACAATTTGGTTGCTGCTGTTATATTTTATTCATTTGTGTTGGTCACTTCTTTTTCTTCATTTGAAATTCATGTCATGAACCTTTGATGCAGATCACATCTTGCGCCACTATTGCTAAAACAAAGATTTTGGTGGCATCTCCGTTTGGATATTGTTACCATGTGTTGTACCCAAAAATTTGCCCTCCCATTTACTTTAAGATATCGCCTCATGCTCTTAGCGTTCTCAATTGCTCAAGAATTGATCAGACAAAATATCCTCCTAAGCAGTTGACATATAACTAGGGTTTTGCTTCTCTCAAGTAAAATTAGACTTTAATACCACAATGAGATTCCATGGTTTCTTATATGTCTCAAATAATGCTCATGCCAAATTTCAAGCCTTGCATCACAAGTTTGCTCAGTCAATTGCTCAGATGACTAAAAATCAATTGTATTGGGTAAAAAGTCAATTTTGGACAACATGCAGTCAAACTTCAAGATTTTTGGTCAACATCAAGATTTTGAAGTTACATTCATCATTTAATCAAGGTTTGATCATGATTCATCAAGAAAATTCTCAATTCATCAAAAATCAAAGTTGCCAAATTAGGATTTTCTTAAGGAGAAGTCAACTGAACTTTGACCAAACACAACTTTCACATGATTCATCAAATTTTTCTCAACAAAATCTCATTTTGAAAGAAATTCAATTCTCTACAACTTTGTCTCTCTAAGCTCAATTCTAAAAAATGCTTCATTTGTGAGATATGGGCCAAAATATTACAAGTCATTTTAAAAGTCAACAAAAAGACACTTTTTGTCAAGGAAACGTACATCAAGATAAAGCCTTTAAATGCAAAAATGATTAACATAGAAATTTTAGAGGATATCATGAGCTTTCCAAAAAGTCAAAGATCACCTACATATGATAAGAATTGAGAGAGTTATGATTGGTGCGAGTTGGGAAATTTTGAGAAAATGCATGAAACCAAAAGTGATCAAACTTGAGTTTTTGGACTAATGGGCTGATATATCAAGATTCAAACGTGCATAAGGCCTCAATATGTACCCCTGAACTTATTCATACACCCCTTTGTGTTTTTATTCTATTTATTTTTTATTTTATTTATTTAAATTCATAATTAAATAAGATAAAATCAAGGATTTTTTTACAAAGGTCCAAGCCCAATATTTTGACCTAATTTCATCGTTATATATTCTTCATTCAAACAAGAGCAATGGCACAAAGCCCTTGCTCAAGAAAAATTTCCAAAAACTTCAAAAAAATATCAAAACTAGGGCAAAATAAAAACCCTAGTTGCAACCTCTTTCAAGCAAGCTAACCCTTCCAAACGATCTCTGAAGTGTTATAAGGTAAGATTGGATCAGTTGTAAGGGTCCAAAGGGCCTGAAACGCATGAACATGCATCACCGTTTTTCCATTCTTGCATGAATTTGTATTTTTGTTTTCTTTATGTTTTAATGCATACTAACAATACTAACTTTCTTCTGAGATATCAATGTGCAGATTAGACTCATCGCATGGCCTCCATAACGGCTGAATCGTGTTTGGCCATGTTTGCACCGTGGGACATTATTTTCGTTGTATCTCTTTCTACAACATGATTTGGCCAAAACTAATGCTTCCATTGAACTTGCAAGGCCTGAATTAGGGGGGGTAGGGTCCCTGAGAATCACTAGCACTCCTTGTTTTTGTAGGTTGAAGAAGATGCTCGCCGGAGAAGACGACCTGAGCTAGGGCACTGGCGCTTCTCCGGTACAATTATTTAAGTTTATTATATTTTATTTGTTTTCACTTATGTTACCGGATGTATAGCCACCCCAGTGGTAGAAGCGCGTGCAATAAGGCATTAGTGTACAAGGGTGTGGGTTCGATCCCTACCTTTTGTCATTTTCATGTTTTCTATTTTTCAAGTTTTCCAGTGTGCGTTCTCATAACGACCCTACCATGCGCCCTGCAACTTCTCACCATCAGATCTTCACAAATCTGATCCAACACACAAGAATATGCAAGCCCATGACGTGGTCCTTTTCAGCCACCACACTGGATCCAACGCTGGAACCTCAGTGGGCCTGGATCTCTTTGCAATCTTCACTCCCCTTTTTTCTAACTCAGGCCCAATTATTTCTTTTTTCTCCTTTTTTTATATTTTTTATTTAATTCAAATACAAACATAATTATTTTTAGGTTTATTTATTAATTAAAATAAATTATGTTTTAGTTTTTAATTAACCTTTTAACAATTTAGTTAATTGATTAATTTTTTAATTAAAATTAATTAGATTTAATAGGTTTTAATTAATTATTATAAACTATTTTTCTTCATAAAAAATCACCAAAAAAACATTTTTCTTTTCTATTTTCGTATTTCTATTTTTCTAAATCAATTGTATAGGTCGCACATTCCCTATGTAATAGCTTAGATTTATATTTTCCATTTTTTTCCTATTATGTAATTGCTCAGAGTATGTAATAATTTTAGGGTTTTCTTTCGGCATTTCTTTCTTATGTAACTTCCCCGAAGCCATGTAGTAGTTTTAGGTTTACATTTCCGTACTTTATTCTTTCTTCTACTATACTTCTACTTCTATAACCTAATATAACACATTCACACACTTGCACCTCTAGGGTAGCCTCCCTTGTTGCATTCGGAACAAAACGGCCATGTCCTTCAAACGTAGTGACGCTTTAGCAAATACACTCAAATCAAAGATCATAGTCCATCAATGACCCTTCAATGTTTCCTTTCGATAAATGATCTAGTCCCTTACAAAATTGCTAAAGTATCCTTACAAGTTGCCTTTGATAACCGTACGATGACCCTCAATGTCCCTTCACTTCCAATGATAGAGATTCCTACTAACTAATTATATTGGTATCACTATCTAAAGGAGAAGGAAAAGTACAAGAACGACCTTGAGTGGGTACAACTGTTAATCGCTTGCTCACAAACCTTTCAAAACAAAAACATTTGACAGAAACACTTTCAAAGATATTTTCTAAAATACTTTGTATGCATTCTTGAGGATCGATACAAGAATCATTACAAAGTTCGCCTTACATTGGCTCTTCAAAAATATTTTCAAATCACACACACAAAAGCAAATTTTCAAAGTGAGATAAGCAATTAAGAGCCCGTAAGTAACTACAAATGAAAAGGGTGATAACACCTTCCCTTTTCATAACCTACCCCCTATTGTACCCCGAAATTTTCCTTCCCTTTTCTTTAAGACATTCTCTTAGGGTTTTTCAACTATTCAAAGATACCAAAGGTTTCTCAGGCTTCAAGACATGTCAATTGATTTCTTTGTTTCATCAAGGATTCAGGTTTGCAAGTGTGTCAAGAGAGAATCACATTTTTCCTATCCTTTGGTTTTGTACTAGGGTTTTGACTTTTGAAGGTGTGACACCTGTTGAGATCAAGATTCATGTTTCAATGGTTGCTCAATATTAAGGTTTACATTTGAGTTTATCTTGAATTAAGGTTTTGATTCATGATAAAAGATGTTGAGTTTGAGGACTCTTTGATGATACATTGTTTACCTGTGAAGAAATTTAACCGAATTTGGATTTGAGATCGGGGTTTGCTCATCTTTTGGTTTGTTTTTGTTGACAATTATCTAAGGTATCATCAGTTTGAGTGGGCATTCAAATGTTTGTTTGGAAGGTATAAGTGATCGAATTCAATCGCATAATGGACATCAGGATTTTTTTAAGCTCAAATTTAGAAAACAAAAGAGTTTTAGACTTGGTGTAAATGAGCAAGAATTCAGTTTTGTTTCTTTTAAATTACAAATATGGAAGCTTCACTTGTTACTTCAAATTCAAGAAACTAAAATACATTCTTCATACAAGTTTCATTTGGAATCAAATTCAAAAACGGGGAGCTTTCTATTTGACATTTCAAAGGATTACAAAACTTCATGTTTATTCCAAATTTCGAATCTATTTACAAATCCAAAATAGTCCCAAAGAAATTACAAGTCATACATGTTTAACTACAATTAAAACAAATTACAATTTTCCTATACAAAGAAAAAGGAATTTTTCATTAATCTTTCTCCTTCTTCAAGTATTCCACATTCTTCAAGTCCTCCTTCATCACCTTTCCAAACTCATGAAACAAAAAGAAAAAAAGATTTAGTTAGCCAGCAAATATGAACAAAGAAAGTTTCAAGCAAAATATTTCAAATTCATCATTAGGGTTTGGTTTAAAGAATCAGAAAAAGGGTTATTTCTCAATCGTGTTCAAGTGTATAGCAAAGCCTCATACAGATTTGGATTTAATCATAGGCCTATGTCTATTGCAAATCACAAATAAATTGGTTCACAATAAACAAATTCAAAGAAGTTCAAAACAGAATTCCATTCACATTTGCAGCCCAATAGCAAAGATTCAAAAATCAGAATTATCACAGTCCAATTCAGCAAGTCAGAATTCAAAGCCAACAAAAATGCCTCATATTTTGTGAAAAATTAGAACTGTAATGTAAAATCATAGGCCAATCACCTCAACTACAAATCACAATAAAAAGCTACTCTTTGTTCACAGTAAAGAAAAAAACTCAGAAAAAGTTTCATTATAGTACAAAGCTATCAAACTCAGTTGTAAAAGCATCACAGAAAACCAGAATTTATCAAGGCCACAAGCAACAAAGTACAAAAGCCAACAACAAAGTACAAAAGTCAGCAAGCAAAGTTAAAAACCAGTCACAAGGTACAACAAAGTTGACCTATCAAAAAATCAGAAAATCACAAGTCCAATATAGGTTACTCGAGGCCTGTTATCACAAAATCAGGTTCAACAAGAAACATCAAGTTTTCAATATAAAACCAATTCACTACACAAGTGATAGAGGCGAGAAAAGTTCACCCAAAAAAATATCACAACAGAGTTCACA